GAGAATAACACTGATATTAATCTTAAAGGAACGGTTTGAAAAGTAAAACTCGTTTGCGACAAAAGACACTGCCAAGCTATTCACCATAGATTGCTGATACAATTGCGCCACTCTCAGACACTCAGTGATATTACAGGATTGATACTACCGGAAGAGATCGCAAAATAACGAAACCGACGTACCGTCAGGGGTTCAACCTTAATTCATCAATTCCGAAAGATCGTGAAGTCTCTCCAACGTGTCACCCTAATGTTTTACAAATGATCCAAAGCTCTCGCTTTCATTGCTCTGTCTATATTTCTAAATGTGGGTTCTCTCAAGGAACGTCGACATTGTCAACCTGCTATGGTAGCCAGCCTAATCAGTTTGAGAAACCTGCAGCATTTTACAAGATCGAACATTGTAATTGAGACAAACTTTTATTAAATGTATCATGTAACAGGCAAACGGAAATAAAACAGAAAAAGCAGGAAATACTCAACAGAACTGACGGCATCCTATTGTCGATGCTTCAAGTCAGCAATCTGATATCCAGACTGCTTAAGATTATTGACTTGAAATGTTAACTCTATTTCTTTCCCCACTGATACACTCATACCTACTGAGTCTTTCTAGGATTTTCTTTTCATATTTCTAATTTCGAAAGGTCGCATGGTTTAGCACCAAAGAGTAGCAAATCATTGGTAAACCAAGATCAGGTGGATTGGCCATGCTCAATCGCCCATAGTGTCCAAGGATGTGCAGGCTGAGTGGGTTAGCCACAGGGAAATGCAGGGACAAGGTAAGGGGAGCGCTCTTTAGAGGGTCTGTGTGGATGCGATGGGCCGAATAGCCTGCTTCCACACTGGAAGGATTCTATGCAACTGACTGTCATCTGAAAAGAAGCTTATTTTTCATTACTTTGCTCAGAAAACCAAAGAAGAAAATCTGCAAAAGATTTTTTTAGTACTTTATTAAAGAAATAGTTTGCCTTTATGCAGCGCCTGTCATGAGCTCGGGAGGCTCTTAACCATTTTACAGCTGATTAAATACTTTTATACTCGCTGTTGTAATATAACTGATATAGCACACCAGCAACAATATTGATAATGACCGTATATTTTTCAAGATGTTCGTTGAGGGGTACATTTGGCAAAACACTCTCTTCTGTTCTTCAAGATAGTATCATGAGATCTTTTACTCCCATCTGTGAGGGGAAGTGATGCCTCGGTTTAACTCCTGTTTGGAAATAATGTCTCCATCAATGCAGCACACATAGATGGCATAAACGGTCCAACAAAAATCTATCCTGTAAATCAGTGCTTTACACACAGGTCCAGATATTCCCATCACAATTGGAAACCCCATTTCTAATCCTGATCAAACAAAAAAAAGTTACCTTTAAATGAGTTCTCCCTGTGGATTTTGTGGCCAGGAGTGGTCAGGTTTGGGAGACAGTGCTGGAATGGAGGTCAGGGATCCAGTGGGGTCAGATGGGGGCAGTGATTTGGTAGTTGGGGTATGTCAGTAATGAGACAGGGTTCAGTTTAATAGTTACCTATGAATTACAGGAGGTTTCAATTCCTCTGACCTTCCCTGGGATAATTATTAATCTTGCGTGAGTCCAAAACCGTCTGTCATTTCCAACTCTAAGAAAGAATTAGAGAAATTTTTGGAGTGTTGCAGAGGCTGGGTAATTGCCTCAAGGAAATTACAAATTCCCAGACAGTTCCCACAGAGTAAGATGTGTTGGCATTTTTGCATAGTCCCAACTTACAACTCCAAACAATACTGTCATAACAATTATCTCCCATAGGAATTTTAGGGCTAGTTTGTCTAAAGGTTTCAGAAATGAAATTTCTCCATCAAAATAAACAAATGGCACAAGCTGATTGTGCAAGGGGCAGATGCTCTACCTTGTCAGGTAGATGTACATGATTCCATTACACTTTCAAAGAAGAGCATAGACTTTTCCCCAGTAACCTATTTATCTCTCAAACAATGTGTGAAAACAAATAATTCAGTTATTATCGCATTGCTGTTTGTGGGAGTTAAATTGGCTGTTGTGACTCCTACATTAAAGCAGTGATGAATGATTAAGAAAGTAATTCATTTGCCATAAATTGCTTTGGGACATCCTAAAGTTGGAAAAGATATTACATAAATGTAAGTCCTTATTTGCTAAGCATAAGGCAATCATAAGATGCAAAGTTTTCACCTATTTACAATTTGCTGTGGAATTCCATTTTGGTCTCCTTGGCTATTCAATGAAATCTACAGAAGGACACCATTGTGGCTATCTTCTTTATCTTATTCTGAAGCTGTTGGATTCTTCTACTTTAATTCCTCCGAAGGAAGTGCCCCAATTTGTTTACCTTCAATAGAAAATGCACAAACAATCAAAAATAAAAGCTGTTGATTCATTGTTGCTATTACGTGGGTAACTTTACAGTAAAATTACATCTATTATCTTTCCTTTTCTGGCCCTATGCAAAAGGCCTTAACCCTGAGATGCATGATCTGGGTCATGAAGAAAGCAACTTTTAAAAAGGGAAAGATAGCTAAAATCACATAGGGAAAATATTTTTTAGAAGGGCAAAAGCCAGGTTTAAATTTATTGTAGCAAATAAATATAATTGACATCCAGAAATGTTTAAAATATATTGGAAATAATCATTGTAAGAAAGAAAATGTGCCGAAGAATTTAGTGTTGAAATAAAAACAGAAAGTGCTGAAGGAAGTGTCAATGTTTGGGACATGAAATGCAGACTGGTTGTCCACTTTGCACAATTTCAATTCTGTTCATAAAAATGACCCCAAGCTTCCAGTTGCCTACCACTTCAAAATATTGCTGTGTTCCCATGCTGACATTTTTGTCTTGGGCCCGCTGCAGTATTCCAGTGAGGTTCAATGCAAGCTGGAGGACCAACACCTCATCTTCCACCAAGATACATCCACAGCCCTCAGGGCTCAACATTGAGGCTTAACAATTTCAGAATGTGAACATCCTCCTCCATGTCCTTTACCCACCCCCACACTTCCAGATGTTGTTCTGTATGGGTTGCTCCCATCACAGCCAATCTATTTTCAAACCTTCACACTTTCTGTTAGCTCCCATTAAGCATTTTCTCTCCCCTGGCTTATCATCAGCCATCCCTTCATTTGCTTCTCCTCTCTTTCCTCTGTCTTTTTCTGGCACCATCTCTATCTATTTGACTCACTCCATCCCCTCTCTTCATCATCAGCATAAATACCACCATTTCCCAGCTGCTTTCAGTTCTGACAAAGGGTCGGTAAACTTGAAATATGAACTCCGTTTTTCTCTCTACAGATGGTACCAGACCTACTGAGCTTCTCCAGCACATTCTGATTTTGCTTCAAATCTCCAGTGTCTGCAGTTCTTCATTTTATTATGGCATTTAAATGTTGATCTTATTTTTAAAGAAAACAATATGAAACATACAGACAGTTAGCTTAATTGCATATGCGCCTAATGTTGGACATGACGATTTCTTTTTGAGTGCTGTCAGAGCAAAGTGCTTTTGTTTCGATATAAAGTGAGCTTACAACCTGCAGTTTTAATGACTGAGTGCACTTTGTAGTAACAAGATATGGAGGGAGCTTAAAAGCAGCACACATAGTCAATCAGCTAGCACTCAGCTAATGGGCTGCTGATAAGTTGAGAACAAATAAGTGGAATTGATTTGAATAGATATAAAGCATAAATGATTTATTATTTATTTAAATGTCTGTTATTAAGTACTGGAACAGAAGTACAAGAGGTACATTAATTCAAAAATTACTGAATGATGGTGTTTTTTTTTGCTACATCGTAAAGGATCATTTGCCTTTTTGACGTGGCATTAGGTGGTCATTTCCACCACCTCCATTGGGATACCACCACCAGATACATATTCTCCTTCCCACCTTTGTCAGCTTTTGGCAGGAACCATTCCCTCCAGGACACCCTGGGTCCTCCTCCATTCCTAACCCCTCCCCACACCCAGAAGGCACCTTCCCATGCAATTGCAGAAGGTGTAATACCTGTCCATTTACTTACTCCCTCGTCACTATCTAAGGCCCCAGGTGAAGCAGCAATTTACCTCCACTCAGTTAAAAGACACTGTTCTGAAGAAGGGTCATTACACTTGAAATGTTAACTCTGTTTTCTCTCCTAGACTTTCACCAGGGCTTTCTGTTTTTGTTTCAGATGACCAGATTACGCAGTTCTTTTCATATTAATGGGTTGCTCTGTGCCATTTTGACAAGAATTCTGTGGGACGGACAGGCAACATCTTAAGAGAAGCGTTTTCAATTTAAGAGAAAAGTTATGCTTCAGAAACCAACTATAGCTGCCACGTTCCAGTCTGATTGAACTTTTCCAGAATCTGACAAAGTCTACAAAATTAACACAAGCACATTTACTACCTCATCAGGAACCTGTTTTAAGACCTGAGGATGAAATCTATCAACACCTGGGGACTACACAGTCCACAGCTCCAGTTAGCCCATTACTGTTTCTCTGGTAATTTGAAGTCTCGTATTCATTCACTTTTACACAAAAGCTGACATGGCACTTGGAGCACAAGGAAACAAATCTTATGATACGAGCTTCAATCATAACTTTAATAGGAGTATGCTGAACTGGCCTTTAATTCCATTACTGTTTATGGTGTACATACAACCTGGCTGTTGTGTTTCCTACATTAAAATTGTGACTACGCTTCAGAAAGTGGTTAATTAACTTGTACATCATGAAAGGCATTACAGGAAGACATTCATTGTTATTTAACACTAATTTTCAGCGTTATACAGGAATTAAAATACATCCTCTAGTCTGAGAGGTAAAGTCAAAGTTAGGAATATTTCAGTGATTGGAAACTTTTGACAAAAGGCTTCCAAGTGATTGGATCATACTTGACCAGGATCGATGAAGTCCCACCCCTTGCTGTTTGATTGACACGTGGGTACCGCCTTGTGATTGGATACAGGGCACGTCCATCAACGCATGTGGGCGGTGTTTTGCGGGGTGATAGGTCAGGAACATGGCGACGCCCTGAAGGAGAGTTGTGCTGAATGTGAATGTCTTTCGAAGATTAGTGGTGGATTAAGTGAGCGATAACAGCAGCAGCCGTCGTCCCGTTGGTGTGATTCCTCTGCCGAGGCTGCGGGACGATGTTGTGCCGTCTCTGGACCCGGGTCCCGTCTCGGTTCAGGCCTGGGGTTGGTTACCAGATAATGGGAAGGACGGTGGAGTGGCGGCGGCCGTATCCAGCTGCGGGTGGGTGAACCGGAGCAATGGAAACCAAACATGTCATAACATTCAGAGATAGTAAGATCTGCTGATGCTGGAGTCAGAGATAACACAGCAGGCCGGGCAGCATCAGAGGAGCAGGAAAACTGATGTTTCGGGCCGGGACCCTTCTTCAGAAAATCTGAATCATGACATTTGAGAGATTGGAAACTGGGAATTGATTACAAAGTGTCAGCCGTGTGTCCGTGGGGCCACTTGGGCCTCTGAGCCTCAGGATTGTAGATTCGATCCAGTTCCACAGACTTGAATACAGAATCCAGGTTGATAACAAAAAAAGGCATCGCTGAGAGAGTTAGTTCTTTCAGATGAGGCATTAAACTGGGGCTCCCTCTGACCACTCAAGTGGCCGCAAAAGCTCTACACCATTTAAAGAAGAGCAGGGAAATTCTGTCCAGTTTTTGTTCTCTAACAAAAATCATGAAAATGTTATTTTATCATTGTCGTAAACAGATTGGCTAGAGCACCCCAGAAGAGGTCACACATTGGGTGTAAATCACTCTCTGTCCACAACTTACGAAATTAGCTGTACAAGTACCACTGCTTGCTTTCTGTACATATTGTTGTTAAGAGATGTGTAGGATGGCTTCCTAAGCAGCATGGGATCCAAAACCGGTATTTCAGAGTTTTTGGTTATAATCTGTGTTTAGAATAACAATAAGGTCAAGTAAATATTAGTCTGGCCTGGCTGTCAAGACACCTTTGCTTGTTTGAAATTTAAGTTTTTAGTAAATTTTACTGATGAGCAACCTGGTGGAATACAGTACAGGTTCTGAGCTCTTCAGGACTGTTCTACATTGGTCTCAGTGGCTGTGACAAGTATAATAATTCAGCAAACTAGAGTTATTTGCTTGATTCTTTGAAGGTCCCTGGAGCGTAGCACAGAAGTCCCATAAAATCGTGCTTGATTTGGGTAATAGTGTAAGTCGCTTATGCCGTAATTGGGTTAAATTGCTGTGCCACACTAGGAGTATATATTGTAGATGCACTGTTGCTATGGCACAAGTTTCAGCAAATTCAGATAAATAAAAGTCATCTAATTATTTTTGAAATTTGCTGTTTTCTAGAGCGGAAGAAATTTTATCAGGATGTTAGCATTTCTCAAGGGGAAGGTAAGACTTGTGCTTTCCAGTCTGATATTTAAAAGTAAAGTTTTGTTTTTAAGTGTTGAATTTCTTTGAGTCATATAGTCAATGATGTCCATCTCCACCCCTGCCTTGCTCATCTGCTGCTGAAATCACATCTATGTCTTTGTTATTTCTAAACAACCATTCCAGCATACTCCTGCCTGGCTTCAAATAACCTTCAGCTCATATAAATATCTGCCTGAATCTTAACTCTCACCAATTCCTATTCAGCCATCATCTCTTTGCTTGCTGACCCAATTGATTCCTAGTTAAGTAACCCCTTGATTTTAAAATTCTCATCTTTGTTTTCAAATCTATCCAAGAGCTCATTCGCCTTTCCTCATCTCTGTAATCTCTTCTGAAATATCTACTGCTTTAAGTATTTGACTTTGTGGATCGCTGCTTTGAATCACACTACCATTGGTGGCCATACCTTCAACTCCTGAACCCTGATCTCCTGGAATTCCATTGCTGATCCTCTGTGTTTATCAGTCCTCCTTTTAAAATGCTCCTTTAAAATCTACCTCTTTGATCCATTTGGACATTTCACTTGTTAAACGTAGTATGTAAATGCAAATCTACTTGTTGCTGAAAGTGCCAAACAGGGCATGTGAAATGAATCAGCTGAATGTTAGTTGCACTGGAAAGCCCTGAAGCTCAATATTGAGCTCGTTACTTAACTGTTGGCATAGCTCAAGTACACTTGGTAATCATAGAATCCTTACAGATGTGGAAGCAGGCCATTCAGCCCATCAAGTCCACACTGACCTTCCGAAGACCATCCTACCCAGACCCATCCCCCTACCCTATCCCTGGAACCCTGAATTTCCCATGGCTAACCTACACACCCTGAACACTATGGGCAATTTATCATGGCCAATCCACCTAACTTGGACTGTGGGAGGAAATCAGACCACCTGGAGGAAACCTGTACAAACTCCACACAGACAGTCGCCTTAGACTGGAATTGAACCTGGGTCCCTGGCACTGTGAGTCAGCAGTGCTAACTACTGAGCCACTGCTGCACTGGTAACTCCAGGTAATAGCAAGTCATGTGTTCTACGAACTGGATTTATAAACCTTTTTGCCTCAAAAGATTGGTCCAATTTCTATAATAGCAAATTGCATTATTATTAATTGATTTGCAGTATTATTGAACATATTTTCTCTGCAGCTTGATTGTGTAAAAGTTTGTGGGTCTTTCCATCTGAGGTCCAAGGTACATTTTCAGGGCAATGGGGAAAGAGCAGAGAATGGTACACTTTGGATAGCTCTTTCAGAGAACTGGCACAGGCACAATGATCTAATGGTCTCCTGTGTTCAATGATCCTATGTTTCACCTTGCCCTGGGACATTAACAAATTGCCAAATTGTACTCTAAAAATACTGATAGATGTAATTGTGGAATTTAGACAGATTGTTAACCTTTACCATTTTTGTTAAGTTTTGAATCCTGCTACGGTGCTTTATTGCAGCTCTAACTGGTGAAGGAACATTGTTCCACTTAGATGTAAGTCTCAGCAACAGATACACACCCAGAGGAAAGATGTTAATTGATGCCTTCAGTATCATGCTTGGCTCTAGCTCATCCCAATTTTAAAGCAGAACCAGACCAAAGTAATTCAACATTTTCAAACTTGATTTGTATTTTTGCTCTGCTTAAAATAAGTAGTATGAATTTTTTATCATGTAAAATAAAAAATTATTTATAGGTTTATTGCAGTTGATCTCTGGTTGGTGCTTCAACGAGCAGTGACAGCGAGGGTAAAACTGCATTTGCGTACTGTATCGGTTATGTTACTGAAAATATTAGATTTGTTAAATTGTTAGAGCACACATCAGTGATTGATGGTTACAACAATTAACTCTTGTTTGGGCAGGACTACTTTTATCACAGAAGCCAAATGATTTTGCTGAAAGCCTGAAACACACCGTGTATGACTGTCAGTCCATTGATTTAAGAGAGTGTTTCATTGCCTTTTGCAGGAGGAGCATTTGAGATAAACCTGGACCGTAGGAAACTGAAGACACCTCAGGGAAAGTTGTTCACGGTCCCCAGTGAAGCTCTGGCAATAGCTGTCGCCACAGAATGGGACTCTCAGCGAGACACGTTGCAGTTCTTTACCATGCATCTGGTATTAATTGTGCTTTTTTAATGTACTGGAGTTTATGAATAATTTAAACTTACCAACATGGGTAAATCAACTAAGATAGAAAATGCTGGGGGGAAAAAGTAGCATTTCTGGCAGCATCTGTTGGGAGGGGAGCAGTGTTAACCTTTTCAGTTTAATGATCTTTTGGTTGAACTGGAAAAAGAGAAAATTAACGGGTGTTACGCAAGTTCAAGGGTAGGAAAACATGCCAAAAGAAAACACAAGGGAAATTCTGTGATAGGCTATAGTGAAAAGAGGTGGTAATAGAACAAATACAGTAACCAAAATTGGAGCTGTAAATGTCGTCACAGAATTATTACAATATACTTTCAGAAGTATTGGAAGCAATGATGATGTCAATGGAATAGTAATCCAGGCTAATTCTCTGGGGACAGGAATTCTAATCCCACCATGGCAGATAGTGGAGTTTATATTCAATTAATTAATTTGAAATTGTAAATTAGTTTTAGAAATTGTGACCACAAAATTATCATAGGTTGTTGTAAAAGCCCATCAGGTCACTAATGTTCTACAGGGAAGGAAATCTGCTGCCCTGACTTGATCTGGCCTACATAAGGCCCCAGAGCCACAGCTTAAGTGCCCTTGAAATGGCCTGTCAAGTCACTCCATTCATGTGGGGTGTCTCAAGTAGGAATGGGCAACAAATGCTGGCTTTGCAGGTGACAGCAGCTTCCTATGAAAGAATAAACAGTGATACTGATCTGAAATTGTATGAAACAATAAATCACCCAACTTATTAAGTTTGTGCTTCCCAATTCTGATTTCATTCATGTCATTGCAGGTAGTTACAGAGGGATGGTCAGGTCAAGAGGACCACAACTTTTCTAGTTCCTTATTGAGAAAATGCTGTGCAGTTGCAATCTTTCAGCTGATGCACTAAATTGTTTGTCTCCTTAAGTGGGGGAGAAAGATTCTACAATACAATAAAGAGGGAAGTTCTGGCTAATTTTAATCCCTCAATCATCATTATTTGGTCATATGACATTGTTTATGGAATCTTTTTGTACGCAAACTGGCTGCTGTGTTTTTTCTATACTATCAGTGTCTACACTTCAAAGTAGTAGTGGACTGTTGTAAAGCGTTTTAGAACTTCGAGTTATGAAGGATGCTGTACAAATGGGAGTTTATATTTCCTTACCAAATCAGAACATCTTGCAAAGCTTTACGTGATGAACTTTGAAGTTCCATGACTATTGTGTAGGAAAATTATTACCTGAATCTAAACTTTTCTTTGATTAGACAACCTTATGCAACACCGCACTGGATAATCCCACACAAAGAACAAAAGAACAGTTGATTAGGGCAGCTCTCAAATACCTGGATACGGATACTGTCTGGTAAGTCATATTTGCTTTGGGTGACGATGTTATATTTCTACACCACATACACAAATGCTCAGGGCTTAAGAACTGAAGGAACACAACTGGAATTTTCTTGTTGCCAATTCTTTTGCAGGTGATACTGACTAATTATGCTGAGAGTTGTGGAAAAGATGAAAGAGAATACAGATGGAATAGTGGTTTGGGAAAATAAGTGATCAGTGCAGTTCAATGGAGAAAAGTATCAAAGAATGAATTTTGAAAGAGAAACTTGGGGAAATTAAACAGATGGGCACAGAAGTAGACTATTCAATAATTGGAGCCTGTCCTGTCAATCGGACTGATTTGTATTTAACCTCATTTACCGGCCTTTGCTGTGCATCTCCAAATACTTTCACGCAGCAAAAAAAAATACACAGTTCATTAAATGTGCCAACTTCCAGTAGAGAAGATCACAAAAAAAGGAATGTTTAGGTTTGTATCTGGAATACAGAAGCAAAAAGCTGCTGTTGCACTAGTACAGGGCTGAATTCTGCATTTGTTGAATATTCTGTACAGTTTTAGGCACTCTATTATAGGATAAATTGAAAAAGGACAGAGGGATATAGTATTTTGTCTGCAATAGATGTCAAAAGGTTTATGCGTGATCTGATTGAGGTTTCCAAGACTCAGATTAGTTACAACAATCAATTTTTTTCACTGGTCAGTCAGATAGTCACCAAAGTTAAGCTCAATATTTTACAGTCTCAAAAATATGTAGAGTTCTCTATCCCTGTACCTTTTATAGTCAGGTAATTGGGCAGTATTTGGTTAGGGGGTTTCTGCTTTTAGTTTGGAGATTAGTGCAGGTTTGCTGATTCCTGTCCCAAGTCATCTGCCATTGCACTGAATGGAAGTGGTGAGCAGCTGGGAAAGCAGATAACGTTTAATAGAGGCTCTGTACAGAATCATTGGAAGTTGTATATTCTTTGGGAATCTTTGAAAGAGGAGTACATTCTCGCTTAAAATGGCACGCTTGAATAATTTCCTGTTATCAGTTGTTGAGTCAAAACTCCAGTCAAGACAGTGAGCTTCAACCCCTGGGAGCATGTGTCTAAAATTCAGGCACACATTGCCAGACAATGTGACTGAACATCTGAATTTTTAACGTGCTTGTCTCATCAGACAGGCTTCCTATGAGATGTGCAAATTGGCAGAGGTGATTTGCACAGGTTTGCTGGACTTGTGTGTCTCTACAACATTACATGTTAGGCAGATCAACCCATTAACTTGGTTTGAGGATCTTATTGGTGCATTTAAACTGCAACATTAGTTAAGTGCTAGAGAATGGTGTCTCCCTGCCCCTGGCATTTCATGAGTATATGATTCTGAACTAGGAGATAGACATCTGATTTATTGGAGTAAATAGCACGCAACTCAAGGGAGCTATTTGACCAGAAGGCAAGTGATTTGCAAGATGGTAGGTTTGAACTTTTTGGTTAATGTTTACAAATCCAGTAGGAAAAATGGAGAAAGAGGAACGTGCTGATACGAGATTGAGATGCATGGATGGACAGGAAGGCTAACAAATAATTGTATAGAAGGAGGTTAGTAGAGCCAGAAAAAAATTGCAAAAGTGGGTGAAAACGTTTGGAGCTAAGAGACAATATCATGGCTTTCTTTGGATGAGCTTAAAATGGACCTTTCTTATCTACATTTATTTCTGTTGTTTTGATCAGTTACAGAGTGGAGGAGCCACCTGGTTTAGTAGAGCTTCAGAGAAATGAATGGGATCCAGTCATCAAATGGATAGAGAACAGGTGAGTGCAAGAGGATATCCTGAATGAGACACAATACTGTGTCTCATCTGTGACAAAATAACCCAACCCACCTTGCCTATTGAAGGGGAGTTGGAATAGTGAGTTGGGTTTTATTTAAGAGTTCGGTGGAGAATTGCTTCAGCTGTGAGTGGTTGTAAAGAGACAGATTTTGCACTATCTTTCAGCCATATTAATCAATCAGAAGAAGGAGTCACCCAGAATTAAATGCGCCCAAGGTTGATGCTGTGCCATCTCACTGATTTATTTGTTTCATACTGGTTTTTGCATTTTTCAAACAGATATAATGTTGTGATTGGCACCTCCACAAGTATCTTGGGACCGAACATTCCAAAGGAAACTAAGCAGACCTTTGAGCAGCACCTCTCCTCGTACAATTCCTGGGCACTTGTAGGTTTGTGATCTCGTAAGTCTTTGTTTTAGCCAGATATTCTGGAACAGAAAGTAAAACTTAATGTCTCCTTTTCCTTTAGCTTGATGCAATGGTCTAATTGTCCTTGTATCAAGGGCAAGAATCACAAGCTGCATTTCTATTGTGCTTTACCTATAGCAAAACATTTGGAAGCACTTTAGCTTTGAGGAGAAACAGTGGGTGTCTAGTAAAAGGGGAAATGGTGAGGATGGTAAGAGCATAGAGTCGACTGTGTTATAATCAAACGATTCTGGAAGTAAGAACATGAGCAGAAATGTGCAGGCTGACCATGACTGAATAAGCGATCCCAAAGACAGTGATCTCAAATTGCCAATTAGTGTTTAAGGAATGGAGATCCAGTTAGACGCACAGGCCAGCAGAAATTGAAAATTGGGAATGGGATTGTTGTTTTCAAATCTTTCACCTTGTTTCTTTGAAGAATACTGTGAAATAAATGATGGATTTGCAGGGTAACAATCTAACAGACTGTTACGAACATGCTTTCCAAGGCTTTTATGCTCTAAATGAATAGACATACAAGGCAAGAGACTTTTTTAATGGATTTATACAGCCCATACAGTGAGGGAGGAACTTGCCCTTCACCCCTACAACCGTAATTCTTTGCATTCAATCAGAGGTTCCATTCTAAAAAGAACTTTATTATGACTGGGGAAGTGAGTGATTTGGATGCCAAATATTCACTTCTCACTTTTCAGATGCTCATTGCCAACTACTCAACCTTTTGAATTTACAATCAGGGAAATCCTTGTTGAATTCACTGCCCTCTTATTTTTCTTTTCATGATGGCTTTGATTTTGTAGGTCTGGAATATGTCGTCCATCAGCTGAAATCAGTGGTTCTTTCATTAAATCTAATTGACCGAAACTTGGATGTGGAGAAAGCTGTTTTGCTGTCTCGACTCGAGGAGCAATATCAGGTGAGGGTGATGTCGTATAGTGGGTGCAGCTTATGTGCTCCTCCAATGCTCAGACCTCCAGTTACTCAATGACATTGGTTTGGCTTTTTGCTCCCTGCGTTATGAAGCATGCTGGCTGTTCTGAGTTGTACGTTAAATTACGAAACCTGGTGTGCAAGGTTTTGTTTGGGTTGAATCATAACCCTACAGAGAAATGTGTTTTTTTTTAATGGGTCTGCTTCACCATGAGTTGTTTGAACCAAAGTCTTGAAGAAATGCGAGCAATTTGAGACCAAGCTTGCTTCCTGTAGAATAACTGGGAATGCAACTCAGATTGTGATGAGAAATTATCCTCTCTGGCCTTGCAAGTAGCAGCCTTTCCCTACTAGGAAGATCCCATGATAAATGATTTTAAATATCAGTACATTCTTGGGATATTTATAGGATGAGATACGGAACATTTAGGTTCAACAAGGAGCGAGAAAAAAAGTGGAAAAGTGGCTCTGTTATATGGTGATGGTATTAGCAATTAAAGAGGGCTGCCCTAAGTTCAGGAAACAATATAGAAGTGGTCTGCATCCTTCATTAAAATTGATCTCTCCCAGTTTGATGGTAACGATAGTGTTGTGATATGCTGGACTGTGAAGTTTCTAAATTGTGGGTGAATACTGTTCTCCTGATGGCTCTCAGAACCTCATGGATGCCCAGTTTTGAGTTGCTGAATTTATTCTAGATCTGTCCCATTTCGCTCAGTAGTAGCGTCACACAATGCCACACATCTTCAATGTGAACGCGTGCTTCATCTCCATGAGGATTGTGTGTTGGTCATGCTTACCTATACTATCATGGACAGATGAACATGTGGCTGATAGATTGAGGATGAGATCAAGTCCTTGTGACGGGTTTTGAGCACGGATGTGTCGTTGCAATTATACAGGGCCTTGGTGGGGCCGCGCTTCGAATTTTGTGTGCAGTTTTGGTCTCCCTTTCTGAGGAAGGATGCTCTTGCTCTCAAGGGAGTGTAGCGAACATTTACCAGGCTGATTCCTGGGATGGCAGGATTGACGTATGAGGAGAGATTGACTAGGTTAAGATTGTTCTTGCTGGAGTCATAGTCTGAGAATTCAGGGTAGACCATTTTGGATAGAGATTTCTTCACCCAAAGAGTGGTGAGCCTGTGGAATTCATTACCACAGGAAGTAGTTGATGCCAGAACATTGAATGTATTCAAGAGGCAATTAGATATAGCACTTGGAGCGAATGGGATCAAAGGTTATGGGGAGAAAGCGGGATTAGGTTATTGAGTTGGATGATCAGCCACGATTGTGATGAACGGCAGATCAGGCTTGAAGGGCCGAGTGGCCGCCTCCTGCTCCTATCTTCTATGTTTATATCTAAGTTGGTTCTGCCTCTCGTGAGTTCCATCATCACAGGCCACGTGACCCATTTACCAGCTAAGACCTTTAGGACATAGCCAGTAGTGGTGCCATTGACCCACATGGAGATTGATGTTCACCTCAGTATATTCTGTCTTTGTTACCATCAGTGCTTCATCCAAGTAGTCTTCAACACTGAGAATACAGTTGAGCAAGAAGTGGTCTTGCCCATGTTTGATTGACACTTGTAGACTCCCTAATTGTATACCACAGTGCTACTGCCACCTCTGTTGGTTCTGTCCTGCAAGTAGGATAGTGTGTATCCAGGAACAATCAAGTTGATATCTGAGATATTGGGTCTCGGATATGTTTTTGGGGATATCAAAATTGGGAAAACTGTTCCACAGACTGGTCTAGCCTGTCTATTGATTGACTAGTCTGTAGAACAATTGTCCCAGTTTTGACACAAGCCAATTTCTTCGTACAGAGGGGTGAGATGTGGGCATGGCAGTTTAATAAAAAGTATTTACCAGTTGCTGTAAACCTTGAGAGTTGAATCTCAAATATCAATTCCAACAGTCCCTTATAGATTTGTTCCCTTAAGGAAAGCATGTGGGAACGACCTTGAGTCCCAAAACAGCAGGATCCCATGACTTTGGCTTTTGCTGTGCTTTTGGCTGAGTCAGCATGATCTGTTTCAACTGTAAATGTAACCAACAAGCAAATCCATGTGTTTGCTAATGTCTGTTATCTTAAATTGTGCTAATCTTTCACACACATTTAGATTGGAATTAGTATTATAAGCACCAAAGTGACTCCCTTCCACAATTTCTTTTCTCCAGATTGAAATGTGGGGAAATATTGAATGGGCACATGACTATGAACTATATGAGCTTCGATCCCGTACGGCTGCTGGAACCTTGTTCGTCCACCTGTGTTCAGAGAGCTCGACTGTCAAACACAAGTTGTTGCAGGACTGAAAGCGATCAGTTGTCTGTACAGTCTTGGGTCAAATCTATGATCAAATATATCACAATAAAATATGATAATTCAGTTTGAACAGCCCTGTTCATTGACAATTTTTCAAAGTTCAAAGAATTTATGTCTTTTTTTAAGAAAAACTGTTTGTATTTAATTAAATTACTAATTCCATGAAAATTTGACAATTAATGGTAGCAAACGTAAAAACTAAATCCTAATATTTAACAACAGTACTTCCATTCGTGTGAGCATTATTTTGCAAAATAATGTTTGAATAGAAATAAATTATTATTTGTGCTCCCCTCTGGCTCCTTTCAATTATGTTTCTCCATCCTAACCCTGTAGCTAAATGCCCTCCCCTCCTAGATCCTGTGCTGTACAGGATCCTGAAGTGTAGCGCAGAACTGGATGCAGTATTTTAGTTGTTCACTACGAACCAGAGCTCTATATGGGTTCACCATAACTTCCTTGCATTTTTATTTGATACCTCTATTTATGAAGGTGAATTCCAAGCAAAATAATAGATGTTGAAATACACATGTATCCAAAATAGCACTAAGAGCTGCAAAATAAAAGACATCAAGTTTAAGAAAAGAGAATGAAGGCGTTTTTAAAAATAAAGATTTGGTCTTTTTGAAGAGTATAGATTTTGGTTTATTCACCTTCTTTCTGGACTTTTCTTCATACATCAATGTCACATTTCAAAACATGCACACTCTTGCCAAAGAAAATGGCTTACAATTTGGGGATCCAACAATGCTGTAAGGAGTAGAGGGGAAAAAAAGGGTTAAAATCATAACGTATGAATTTTGCATTTGAAAAGCTTTTAAGTTGTAGAAGGGAAGAGTGAGGAGTACTGGGAAAGAATGAGTTAGAGGAGATGCTGTACATGTGAGGTAGTGAATGTTTGTAGCAGAATAACAAATGTTAATTTGCTGAAAAAAATTACAGTTTTAAAGGTCAACTCCAAGAAATGAGGGGTTTCCAGAAAAAGAACAGCTCTAGATAATCAAATTTTTGATGAGATGAGGCTAGTTTACCCTATCAGGTGCAGTGGAGACATTAATAGAGAACTATTAATTCTCCATTACATTAAAAGGTGCTATATAAATAAATTGTCTCATAAGGGTTCCAATACCTACTAAGAATGGAGAAGTGATGAGAGTAGATGGGCTGTAGTTGGGGCAGGGTGAACAATTTAACAAACTTTAACCCCATTTAAATCTGGTTATGTTAGAACCTAGATAGGACAGGAACACAAGGATCGGGACACCATATTGTACAACTCCTCCCTTTTAATGTTATATGTAAGGATTAGTTGGTGTCCTGGAGCTCCAGGAAATCCAGCTCATCCCGCCAGTGACTGACGTAGATGTTAATTTCTAAAACTCGTTTACGGTTGCGATTTATTTCATCTGTATGCAGCTGCAAAACAAAAAAAAATCATGTCACTGTGTTGCAATTTAAATCATTTGTTTCTTCCCTAATTTTGCTTCGGTTTAATTTTCTTTTCTCTGTTAATCATCACTGTCCAATCCCGTGTGTTTAACTCCAACTGAGAAGGTGCATATCTACCTCTGAATCATGTGATCTTTTGGACTGGTTTTGGTCAGCTGAGGGGGTGGAAGAGAAAATTTGCAAAGATATTTTCTCTATTATTGGCCCTTTTGCCTGTCCTGGAGACTGCATGGGCCAGGGCAGAAGATCTGTTTCGCCATCATGCTATAACAATCAGGAGACTTGATGGAGCATCTTGTTTCTTTCCCATCTGGCAATTTTGTATGTGTCATCACCAAGAGTCAGTTGTGAATGCCCTTGCACAGTCATGGGTTGACATTTTTAATTATTTACTTTTTTCCCCTCTTTTACTCCGACAGAAAGTATATAATTTCTAGTTGCTGCCCATCTAAATAGCTGTGGCTGAGATAGGAAACTAATTGATCCAGGGGAGGATAAACAACAGTGTGGATGTAATGTAATGAGGCTGCATTTAAAAAAAAATCGATGAGTCATTAAACTGAGGCCCTTTATGCTTTTCCATGTGGGCATAAAACATCCTATGGTCCTATTTTGAAGATGATCAGGAGAGTTTTCTCTAGGGTCGTACCCACTATCTACCCCACAATTTATATCAAAGAAATTATTTGGTTCTTATTATATTTGTGGAAGCATCCTGTGTGCTAAAACAGGTGCTAAGTTTCATACAATATAACAGTGATTACACTTCATAAGTAATTCATTGGCTATTGACCCTTTAGAAGAATGAGATTATGAAAGGCACTCTAAAAACATAAGCTCTTTCTTTCTGAGTCGAAGGCTTTCACAAACTTTGTCATAACCACAACAGGCATCTCTTTAGGCTGATCCTTGAACAAGGAATTCATTTTAAACTCAATGAAGGGCCTTTTATTAAAAATAACTACAAACCTCTAGTCTTAAACAATATAAATGTTGGTGAACTATTGCTGTAGTTATTCAAGTAAAATTGATAACAGTACATGAACAATACATATACAGAGATTAAACATGGGTAAAAATAAACGATAGTCATATAAAGATGAAAGTAAGATCAAGCTCCAGTACTGTTGTAGGCCTGTTACTTTTTGAAGTTTCTCTTTCTGAAGTGAAGGGGTTGAAAATTGAAGTCAGATTCAGCAGCTGCAATAGTTAATTGAACAACGTGTCTTCCAGTACAGGTCGACTCATCAGGTCAACAGGATTTGGGTTCCTCCTTAATTCTGTGGCTGTCGCACTTGCAGATTACTGGGCTCTTTTGGCAGAATAGCTGTTGGTTTCTGTAGATCTTCCTCCTTTGTACTTCCTTTGGCTGAGAACCGTCCCTGATGACGTCTCTGGAAGGTCATTCTCTGGGTTCTGCCCTGGTTTAGTGATCTGATTTTATCACAAGCAAGGTAAAATGGCTGCTATGTTACATTGAAATGGGTCGCTGTTTCACCAGGCAAATAAGATAATTATGGTTAGGTCCTTTTCTGTCTCTTGCTTTGAATTCTCACATCTTTAGAAGGACCCATTGTGTTGTCCAAGAGTTAATCAAATTCTAAGTATTGCACTTCGTAACTGATGCTGAGAATAACATAGTTCAATAGGCTTTCAGCTGGTCCATTGTAACGGATGATTGTCAGCTGTGATTTCGACCTCAGAAGGACTTTTCAAACTTATAGGATCTTTCCCTCAGTTTACAGATTTTAAAGCAGAAATGTTCTTAAGCTTTTTCTAAAAAATCTGCCATAGAAGAACTGCTGTGATAGACACAGCAATCCAATATTATATATTTACTTTTCTGGACTGTCAGGAGTTACAATTTGATGCATTTTCAGATACCACTGATTTCAACAGTACTAAATGAACAGGAGGACTTCAAATTATATGGCTCTTCATTTAGAGTGTCTAAAACCAAACATAAAACTAAAGCATCTGGTTATCCTTACCGTTTCAATTGTGTCTGCAGCCCAGCCATTTGCCCTTGTCACCATCTTGTCTTCTTGGTTATCAATCTTAAGCAGATGCATGTCATGTGATGCATTAACTGTATTGATTACTGTATCTTTATCTACAAACAGCTACATAAAGGAACAAATAAAACACTTAATATGTTGAGAAAGCAAATATTTGATAATATTAAAAAAAATGTAATGTATTTTGGATGTTCCAAAATAGTTCATGACTAATTGGTTAGTTTCTTCTCTGGCCTCGCACTTAGTTTGTCTTGACATGGGCTATTGCCCCACGAAGAGAAAATGGGGCAGGGGGAATGGCAGTTAAATAATGACCAGAACATAAGGCTAATGTACTGGAGACATGGGTCCGAAGCCTATCGTGGCAAATAGTGAAGTTTAAATTCAACAAGAGATCTGAAATAAAAATGAAATTGAATGACACCAGGTAACAGTTGATTGTTCTAAAACCCATCTGGTTCACTGCTGTCCTTTTATGGAAGGAAGTCTGCAATCCTGACCCTACATATGACCCCAGACCCCAGACCCCAGATTACGGTTGTTAATTCAGTTAACAGTTGTTAATTGCTGCCCTCTCAGCAATTAGGGATGGACAATATGTGCTTGCCTAGCCAAAGATACCCATATCCCATGAATAAGAACTAGCAGCAAGAGTAAGCAATTCAGCCCCTTGAGCCTGCTCTACTATTTACTATGATCATAGCTGATCATCCAAATCAGTACCCTGTTCCTGCTTTCTCCCTATACCCTTTGATCCTTTTCGCCCCAAGAACTAACTCTTTATTGAAAACATTCAATGTTTTGGTCCCAGCCACTTTCTGTGGCAAGGAATTCTACTGCCTCTCCACTCTTTGGATGAAGAAATTTTGCCTCATTTCAGTCCTAAATGGCCTGCTTTGAATCCTTAAACTGTGGCCCCTGGATCCAGGCAGGTAGCTTCACTGTATGTGAAGTCACATAGGAGCTGGATGCTGCATTTTGGGACTGAGCAGGTCAATGATCAAACTGCTAAGAATTGGGCTTGGGATTGGGTGCTACATTTGGGACATCTGAATGTGGTGGGGGGATGGATGGTGAGGAATGGCCAGAACTGCAAATTTGAACTAAGTCTTAGTAGGAGGGATCCTGTAGATGGCATTGTTGGTTACAGGAATGGGTGTAAGGTTTGGGGTGGAGTGTGTACTTGTAATGTTTATTAAAAGGAATTGTATTTTTTTAAACTGATCCATGGCACCAAATCAAATTGAAGTGATTGGACAGTATGGTGTCCAGGACTGATATAGTGCCTGTAGCACAGAAACAGGCCATTTGACAGCAAAGGCCCATGCAGTACGCCTGCTACTACATCTCTTCATCTAACCCCACCACCTATCCTTGCATTTTTTGTGGACTATCTAGTTTTCCCTCAATGTTTTACTTTAATTATTCTTTGTGGTGGTGCATTCCATATTCTTGGAAAAATTAGTTTCTCTTTATTTTCTCAGTGGATTATTTAATGACTTTCTAGCTTTGGTTGTTCTAACAAAGTGATACCGGGGTGTAAAGGGGAAACAAGATGGAGCATCAGTGCGTACTGTGCTCACACACCCCCATAGAACCAGCTTCACAGGAAGATTGGTGAAAGCTATCTAATTTGCCACTCACATGCACCTGGAGGAGAATAGGAAAACCTTTTTAGAAACATTGAATATTATATTTTCTGAAGAATATTTATTTCTCATAGCTGCAAAAATTAATATTCTTGATTTTCAAATATGGACATGGAACATAGTGTAGGAAAATCCCTTCTCTTACTGCTCGCAGCTCTTCTGGCATTTCCTCTTCCCCTTCATTTTTTCCCATTTTGTCATAACTACTCATGGCAATTTCCAAAATATTCTCATTGTGACGATTCTCTAGGTCTCGGCACTGAGCTATTGTGATTATGTTAAGGTTCCAAAAACAGAACCGCATTCTTATTTATTTCACAAATGCACTTCCAATTCGGCACTGACTTCTGCATTTTATAGATTCAGGCATAAGACCTCACGAATAAACAAGAGTGTCAGAGTTCTTTCATCATTAGGGTAACATAGATCTTATCTTTAATTTTCCACAGGATATGGGTAGCACTGGTAAGCATTGGTTGCACATCCCTAACTAGCCTTGAGAAGTGATGATGAGTAGCCTGTTGACCTCTTTCATTTTGTGCAGTGTAAGTACTTCTAGAGTTCTATTCAGAAAGGAATTCCAGTATATTGATCCAGCAATGATGACAGAATAGTACTATGTCATGGTGACGTATGTTTTACAATGGAATTTTTGGGTGCTGGTGTTCCCATTCACCTGTTTCTCTTATTCCACCACACAGAAGAGAGAGATCACAGGTTTGGGAGGTGTTGGCAAAACTCACATGCATTGGTTGTTATTGGATAGTTGCTACTTGAAAGCATTTTGACTTTGCTGAAAACTCAGTATACTAATGGGACAAAATTAGATTGGTCCTGTTTTTTGTGAAAGGATGTATAAGGGCAATTTTCCATATTGTCAGGTAGGTGCCATTATTATACCTGTACTCGAGTAATTTGACTGGAAGTGCACGTAGTTCTGGAGCAAAGTCTTCAGCGCCACAGCTGAGATGTAATGAGAGCCTATACAGCTTTTGCTGTATCCAATAGCTCAACCATTTTGTGACTGGCATCTATGATGGTGAGGACTTCAATAGGAAGATGGATCATCTACCCAGTCCTTTTGTCAGAAGGTGATTCAAAAGCTTCAACTTTATTTTGCTGGGCCTCAGTGAAACTGGGAATATTTGTGGAAACTTCTTCTCCCATGAGTGGTTTAATTGGTCCACACCTTTCACAACTGGATATAACTGGATAAGACATTTGATCTGACCATTTGCTGTGGAATTATCTAGTTCTGTCTACAGTATTCCACTGTTTATCATATTTAGTCATATGTTGTAGCTTAAGCAGTTTGGCATCTCATTTATGTATGTCTGGTGAAGCTCCTTGAATTCTCTCCTGCTGTTCATTGAACCTGGTTCATCCCCAGCTTAGTGGTAATAGAAGAGTGTGCGATATGCTGAACCACGAGTTTATAGATTTTGGTGGAATATAATCCTGCTGTTGCTGGCTCAATTCCTCACGGATACACAGTTTGAGCTCTTAGATCTGTTCTGAATCCATTTAGAATTTACCTGAATGAATCAGAATTAAATCCATTCCCAATCCCATTTAGCATGGTGACAGTGCCATAAAATATGATCCTACCTGACTGTGGTCTAACCTGGTACCTACACTTTCAAAGGAGGGAAATCAATGAATAATGATCAGAATTAAGAACCTTGACTGATCTTTCTCTTTCCAACCGATGCAACCACTTGTTGTGCTCGACTGTTTACCCTGCTGAGACCAGAGAATTTCACAAAGACCAAAGGCAGCTTCTCACTCAACTTCGATTGAACTTTTCACAATTTATTGACAATGAGATGGGCCATAATAGGAATAGGATGCACAAGATTGGACTGAGATGATATCAAAGAGATACAGGAACAACTTAATTTTTTTAAAAAGATCAGATATAAACTTTTCAGGCAATAATGAATCACTCACTAGTGTGTGTGACTAGAGACCTGTACATATCTTGAGCTTTCATTCAAATTTGTAGAGAAAGAGACAATTGAAAAAGGTTCAATGAATGCTGCATCTCTACCAAGGGGTACTTGGAGAAAAATAAATCGATTTCTACTTTTTAATGACATTGTATATGTAAAATACTTGGTGAAAAACAATAAAAGATTTGCAATGTAACCATATTTGCTGTTAGATTTGAATTATCTTAAAATGTATATTTTAATACAGCCATTCTGGAAAATACTCAAGACTAAGGTAACTATCATATTATATTTCCATGGGAAGAGAATTTGATGTTCCAAGAAAAAGTTCCATGTTTTAAACAATTGAAAGCTACATCAAAATTTATAACTATTTGGAGAAGCACACAAAATGTCTTCTATTACAGAAAAGTGCCGAAAGACGCAAGGCCCAACAGCATCTGTTGAGAGAGAAACAGTTAATATTGCATGATTATGACGACTTTTTGTTACAACTGTATTTGATGTTTCATATAGTACTAACTGGAGAGTTTTAAAATTGAGAGAGATGAAAATTATAAAGAAAACATGATTCAAGTTTAAAATTCTAAGCAGTTTGATATTGATACTGTAGTGATTGCAATGAGGTCAGCCAGCTGGACCTCAGAATATACAAGTTCCTTTATTCAGGCTGTTAATCTGGTCCAATCAGGGAACCTGGGATGACAGATAAAAAGGAGAGTGTCAGAGCTATTGACACACTGGTAGCTGACTTTGAAGAGGCAGTACTAGAGTCAAGGACTTTTCATGTGTAAATAAAGGGTGACTTGGTGACGGGATACTGACTTCTATGGAGTTATTTTAGATACAAGCAGACTATTTAAGTTGGACAGAGAACTCTTTCAAAATCCACGGACTCAAGGGAGACTGGAGCTTCAAGGTTTTTTGTCTCAGGCTCTCTGGACTTCTGGCAATTGCAGCTAATACAATATAAATTAATATTCAAAAAAATCTTGATTATGATCAGGACATGAGCCTCTTTGGTTGTGTAATGGTTAGTACTTTATGTCGTGCCTGCAGCAAATTTGGTTCAACTCCTAGTCACAGCTGTAAGTGTTTTAGGGGAAGCAATGGCTGAGTGATATTAGCGCTAGATAATTAATCCAGAGATCCAGGCAACATTCTGGGAACCTGGGTTCAAATCCCACCATGGCGGATGTAGAATTTGATTTTGATTTTTAAAAAAAAAACAGAATTAAGAGTCTGATGATGACCAAGAAACAGTAGTTGATTGTTGGAAAAACCTATCTGGTTCACTGATGTCTTTTAGGGAAGGAAACCTTCTTACCTGGTCTGGCCTACATGTGACCCATAGCAATGTGATGACTCTTGGTTGCCCTCTGGGCAATTATAAATGGGCAATAAATTCTGGTCTAGTTCATGATGCCCACATCCCATGAATGAATGAAAAAAGATTGGATGTGCTGAGAAAATTAAATACATCATGGATGCAATGGTTCCTGCAGCAAGATATGGGAATGGATGAATATTTTTGATTTGATTTGCTTTGCTGGGATATCTTTCGAGCATCAAAAGGCATTTGTGCAGAATATTACCCATTCCATTTAGAACCTGAGGAATGACCCATGACAGTACCTGTCTCTGCCTGGTCTGTGAAAGGACCTGTTCCTATAGGATCAAAACCTTATTTCTCACTCGTGCTCTAATGTATTGAAGCTAACTTTTGCTGACGATTAAATGTTTACATCAAAGGATATAGAGCTTGTACATTTTCAACATAACTTGTTACAATTTCGGAAATATTTCGTTCAAAATTGCTCATCGTTTCCTGTAAAATCAAACAAAGCAACAAAGCATTAGAACTATCAGTTATAACAGAAATAATGGAAACTGGCATTTTACTTATGCTCAATAATGTCCTTAGAAGTACTGGCCGGCATGAATTTCATTATATTGATATCAAGGCTCAATCTTTTATTCTCTCATTCAATCCCAGGACGTTAAAAACAGTGGAACTAATTCACATGTTTCAGCCCAATCCCTCTTCCTCCTCCTATGACCATCCAGATTTTATCTCATTGGTCAGCTGATATTTGCTCTTATCTTCAGCCATGATTTCATCCTGTAGTGGGCCTTTGGCCATTTGTGTTTCTCAACAAAACATAATATTGTATCTTTGTTTAAGAAACGTCGTAAAGAGAAATCAGGGAACTATAGACCTGTGAGTTTGACTTCGGTTGTGGGTAAATTGTTGGAGGTGACTATAAAAGATAGGATTTATGGACATTTAGAGAGGTAAAAATTGATTAGGGATAGTCAACGTGGTTTTGTGCGAGGAAAATCATGTCTCACAAACTTGATTTATTTTTTTGAGAAAGTTACCAAAGGTTGATAATGGCAGAGCAGTGGATGTTGTTTATTTGGATTTTAGTAAAGCCTTTGACAACGTTCCACATGGTAGACTAATTAGTAAAGTTAGGTCAAATGGGATTCAGGATGAGCTTGCCAATTGGATACATAATTGGCTTAATGGCAGGAGACAGAGAGTAACGGTGGATTAATGCTTTTCGGACTGGAGGCCTGTAAACTGTGGTGTTCCACTAGAATCGGTTCAGGATGCTCTTTTGTTTGTCATTTATATAAATGACTTGGATGAGAATATAGAAAGCATGCTTAGTAAGTTTGCGGACGACACCAAAATTGAACAGTAGTCAGTGAAGAAGGTTTTCTAAGATTACAAAAGGATCTTGATCAAAGGGTTAATGGGCTGAAAAATGGCAGATGGAGTTCAATCTGGATAAATGCATTTTGGTACAACAAACAAGTATAGGGCTTATACAATTAATGGTAGCCTCTTGGGTAGTGTTGTAGAACAGAGGGACCCAGGGGTGCAGGTACATAATTCTTTGAAGTTTGCATCACATATAGACAGGGTCGTTAAAAAGGTGTTTGGCACACTTGCCTTCATTGCTTAGTCCTTTGAGTATAGGAGTTGGGAAGTCATGTTGAGGTTGTACAAGACATTGGTGAGGCCTCTTCTGGAATACTGTGTCCAATTCTGGTCGCCCAGTTATAGGAAGGATATTATCAAGCTGGAAAGGGTTCAGAAGAGATTCACCAGGATGTTGCCTGGTATGGAAGATTTGAGCTGGATAGACTGGGACCTTTTCCACTGGAGAATAGGAGATTGAGAAGCGACCTGATAGACATTTATAAAATAATAAGACGTATAGATAGAGTTAACAGCAGTTGTCTTTTCCCTGGGTTGGGGAATTTCAAGACTAGAGTGCACATTTTTTTGAGTTGAGAGGAGAGAGATTTAAAAAAGACATGAGGCAATTATTTTTTTGTAAACAGAGGGTGTTTTGTGTGTGGAATGTACCTCCTGAGGAAGTGGTGGATGCAGGTACAATTACAATATTTAAAAGGCATTTAGATAGACACATGAATAGGAAAGATTTGGAGGAATAAGGGCCAGGAGCAGGTAAGTGGAACTAGCTTAGTTTGGGATTATGCTCGGCATGGACTGGTTGGACCCAAGGGGCTGTTTCCATGCTGTATGACTATATATTTTTCCACTTAAGGAGAATTACAGGAGGCACACAGACCAAAAAAAACCCTAAAAATAAAACATGTTGCGGTGACCACAAGCACAGAGCTGTTGGAACGTCCTTGCTGATAATTACTGGTCAAGCAAAAATAGTGGCCAGCTTCTGTTTGTTTTTAATGGGTGACAGTCATAACAGTTTGCAATTCCAGACATGAGAGCCCTGGTTCATTGGTGCTCTTCCTAACTTCGAGGACACAGATCATCCCACCTCTGTCTTGCCATGATCAACTCAAGCAGTACTAAGCTCCTCCATTACCACACTATTGGATGGCTGTAATATAATGAGCCATTTACAGAATACACATAACAATTTTAATATTTAGTCCCTAGATACTGTAGAAAGTATTTGCAGTTGCAGGTTGTAGATTTTATAGCAGTAATTTTTTATTAGTTGATTCAGTGAAATGCATTTCATTTGCTGAAACACAAACAGACATGGCTTGAAAAGCCAGCAGGTCTGGCAGCATCTGTGGAGAGAAAGCCGAGTTAATGTTTTGGGTCTAGTTATCTTTCTTCAGAACTGGATTAAGTACGTATGTTAAGGAAAGGATGCAATTTTCTTTACTAACTCCTACAACCTGTGGGATATGCAAGGTTAGATATTACAGCAGTAAAGTTTTAAATTAAATAAAACTTGTAAAGAGCCTTCTAGGCCATAGGTGGTGATGGGCCATGATGCCTTGAAGAGCAGTTGGATCCAGATTTTCATTTGTTATCTCCACCTGTTGAGCTTAAAGTTTTGGTCAGGGCAAGAAGCTACAATTGTGTTTCAAAATGAGGGCACAAACTAATCTTTGAGCTAACAAGCAACAAAACAAAAAAAAATGCAGCAACAAACAAAATGGGAAATAATGGTTGAAAGTCAAGGAATTGGTGCTGTAAAGGTGGAACAAATGTGAACACTTATCTTCTTTGCGAGCGTCATTTATTGTTTAACAAGTGTTAGAAGCAGAGAAACTGTACTTTTCAAACAAATTTAAATGCAATATAGCAAATTGTTTTCCCTAGGAAAAACCTTGCACAAGGAGGGATTTGTCTCTAAATTTTCAGTTGTGAGATGGATCAGCCAAGATCAGAATTCGGTATGTGAAGAATTATGAGAACCGCTTCCAACAAAGTGTGGTGCAGCTAATTAGTGCAATAATCCAAAAGTATTTTTTTTTCCACATTTAAGCATCTTTTGGATAGTTGCAGTAAGGAATCAAGTTTGATCCTTGACTTATGCAGAGGTAGCTGATTTCAGCTAAGGCATCAGTGGAGTTTGTTCAGTTGATCCCAGTGCGAAACTGGGGGAAAAACATCCAAGTATCAATTTTTGATTGTGATTCTGCCATTCCCGCAAATCTTGGACAAAGGTAGAATCAGAGTTGGCTGTGAGCTTGTTGTTATGATTAAATATTAAAATCATTGAGCATTGACCAACTACGTGGACAAATGAAGGAAGTTCTTATGATTGACATACTAAAAGCAACTACCACTTTAGAGTTGTGGAACTATACCTCAGTGAGCAACAGCACTTACAGGGAAAGTTAAAGCTTTTGTCATTTAATCACCACTGTTCTGCACTCTATCACAGACCTTGCCTTGGTTCACACATTTACTTTTAAAGTATCTTTATCCTCACTTTGTACTTATTTGTAAACTGTTAAATTTCTAATTCTTCTCATTCTGATGAAAGGTAATTCAACTGAAACTTTATTAAGGTAAGGTGAGTGTAGGTAGGGGGTTAGGAAGGGGATAGGTCAGTCCAGGGAGGACGGACAGGTCAAGAGGGCGGGATGAGGTTGGTCGGTAGGAGATGGAGGTGCGGCTTGAGGTGGGAGGAGGGGATAGGTGGGAGGAAGAACAGGTTAGGGAGGCAGGGACGAGCTGGACTGGTTTTGGGATGCGGTGGGGGGAGGGGAGAAAGCCGACGCCGACACAGCTCCGCCCACAGCCTCCACAGCCAGCAGCTCCAGACGAGACAGCAGCACCCAGCCCTGCCGAGTCTTCACCATCCCCCCAGACCTACCCCTTACTGAGGACGAACGGTCAGTCCTCAGTAAAGGGCTCACCTTTGTCCCCCTCCACCCACAGATCAACGAATACCGCTCACGCTTGGACATAGAGCAGTTTTTCCGCCGCCTCCGCCTCCACGCTTACTTCTTTAACCGTGAACCTAACCCTCCCTCTACTGACCCCTTCTCCCGCTTCCAACACACCCCCTCCTCCTGGACACCACCCCAAGGCCTCCTACCCTCCCTCGACCTCTTCATCTCCAACTGCCGTCGAGACATCAATCGCCTCAACCTCTCCACCCCTCTCACCCACTCCAACCTCTCCCCCGCAGAACGTGCAGCCCTCCGCTCCCTCCGCTCCAATCCCAACTTCACCATAAAACCCGCGGACAAGGGAGGCGCAGTTGTAGTATGGCGCACTGACCTCTACATCGCCGAGGCTGGACGCCAACTCTCC